GCAACTCGAGTTGCAACCAGAGTCACGGAACGGATTAAGTTCGTAACTAGAGGTACCACTGTACTGCCACTCTTTCATTAAATAGAGGAATACCTCACTACTATTTTGGTGTTTGACTAGTTTTTTTGTCCTCAGCCTATACTCTCCAGATGAACTGGACCTACAACCTTTATTGTATAAAGCCCTATTTGGTTTGGATCTTACCTATCTTTGAGACTACTTATCCCTTACAGTTTATGCCTGCCGAATCCAAAGGCACAGTGAAGACAATCCCTGCTTATCAAGAGATGCAACAAGAGAAAGCCAACAAGAGATATTCTCTGTGAGGATTCCCCATCTCCAAAACAGCTTGATCCCTAAGGCAACTCCCATTCTCATGGCCTTCTGGAAGCTCATAAAAACATGGTTGTTAGGGAAGGTCTTTTGAACTTGAGAGATGTAGATTTCCTGGGGCCAAGAATGTTATTTCTTTGTCTATGTTTAATTGTATTATTAACTGTAATTATATACTGCATTGTTGGTACTGTTGCATTGGCTTTGCCAGCAGCTGTTGCTTTTGTGCACTACTTAGTGTCAGGTGACTGGAGCAGTTTATAAATTAGTAGCATAAATAAGAAATAATCCATAACTAGTACTACTGATAGCTATACAAAATGAAATTCAGTGCATCTGTTGATGGGGCACTAGTTTGTAAATGATATAGTGTCTCTTCAACGGTTCACACATGAATTTGATGTGATTTTGATGCTGTTACTAGGAAGCAGCATTCTTTCCTTAAGATTATGAACAATGCTACAGTCTTTTAATATTTAAGGCAAAGATCTGAATCATGCTCACTCAAATACTGTTGACCTAAGCAGTTTTCCTTTTCAAAATAGTGCATTTTAAATACTACAACAGTAAATAAAAGATGTCTTGAGCAAAGAAACTAGATGAAGAAAATTAGTGGAGTGCAGTATTTCAGTAATGTTTCTTTTTAAATTATAAAATTACATAGCATGGGAAGAGGTTTATGATCAAACAGTCTGGTACAGTTTGCATCAGACATACTTCAGTGAGTATTTTCTTTATTTTCTGGGCTTTTATTTGGGTATCACAAAACATTTGGGTTGACAGACACAATAAAGATTCTGTTGTTTTCCTATACAAGCAAATGGAAAATATAAAAAAGAGAGAAACAAAAGAAAATAACAAAACCTACATTGTTACCATAATCTGCAATAATATTGACCAAACTTTCCATTGCATTGGAGAACAAGTTCAAAATTGGAAGAAAATACATAGCATCAATCCCAGCTTGTAAATTTGGGGTTACATTATCTTTACAAAGTTGAAGAAATGCACAGCACATATACTTTATTCCAAACTTAATTCCATTGTATTTGAGGGCAAATTTCTTCATCAGGGAACTACTGCTATAAAAACATTTAAGAAATGGATGTGCTATTCTCCTGCCAATGGTCTGTCCTTGAAGTGCATTGGGACTGTTTGGAATAAAGTATATATATACCATATTTCTTTATTTTCCATCCCTTTAGCTTGGTGTACAGATAGTCCT